GGAACTCAATGGGAAAGGAAATTATTCTCTTTTAACCGTTGCGTATATTAGATGTTACCAAAAAATTGATTGACAGATGACCGTTGATATATGATTGGCCGAATTTAGGTGTTCAGGCTGATGTATAACTAACTGGCCTGCATAAGATAACGAAAAAAAAAACATAGATTTTAAGGCAGGATTTTTTTTTATTATTTTCTAACTTTTGGAACAATATGGTCTGATAAAGAGTACATTTATATTATTATTTAACCCAGAAATTTTGACATTTAAATATGATTTCCCTACGACTTTAAATAGAAATGCAGTTTTGTTTTTTTGTTTTTGAGTTTTTACAGCACTAGTGGCTCAGTTTTTTCATAGAGAGTAGGCTAAAAGGAAAGGGGGTATGAGAGAGAGGAAGAAACATGCGGGAAAGGACCACAGGCAAGATTCGTACCCGGGTCATATGTGTCGAGAACTAAGGCCTCCATACATGGTTGGTGTGCACTAACCACTGCTACATCTAAGCACACCCATATAGTGTTTGTCTGCAGTATGTAAATGTCCTTTTGGAAAACATTGCTGCTGGAACCGGTGCTTCACGGTATCCTAATTATCCTTTACAGTGTTGTTATTGCAGAGGAAGATCCGTTAGAGGAAGGTGGTAATTTGGGGGATATTATCACTGCAGCAATAGCATGATGTATTAATATTACTGATATCATTTGGCATTGCTGGAAGTGACTGTCTGCTTCTCCTGTTCAGTGTTTTGGGGTTTGGCCTGTGGTGCATCTGTCTCAGGCATCTTTAATGTTTCTGTTGCTCAGTTAATATTATTTCTCTCTTCATCTCAGCTGCTTTCTCCTGATTTCTACCATAAGCTCTGGCCATGTTTTGAAAATCTTTTATTTTGGCCTGTTGCTGTCATATCGCTGAGGTAAACCAAGAGGCTTCATCAACATCATAGTGTGTTTTTCTTTTTAAATATGTTTGAAGAGGAGTAAAAGGCTCAAAGTTTAGAAAAAAAGAAACAGAAAAACAGTCCATTATGTGTAAACGTGTCTACCTCTTTCCTTTCTCTCTTCCTCCCTCTTTGTACCTGACATTGAACAAACATCTCACTCTTCTGTTTCCAAGCTGCCTGTTAGCTGTCTGAAGGTACTCCTCCACTACGTCCTCCTCTTCCTCCTCTTCCTCATCCTGTTTTTGTCATGCGCTCTTATCCAAAGGTCCACTGGCTACCTGCAGTATTTTACCAGCCAAGCACAAGCTTAGGGAGCAAAGTAAAATATTTATATTTTGAGCATCTCCCAGACATTATTAACAGACATTTCAAGACATTTTAACAGTCCCAGTTAAACTAATGGATTCCCAATTCAGTCATCCATTTGCAGATCTCCCTATCCATTAAGTCATATTTCACCTTTTGTTTGCAGCTTTTTGAAAACTGTTCTTTTATTCTATTTATTTTTTATTACATGTTCTAAATGCAGCAATACAAATTTGACCAAGTTTTAAGATCCTGTTTATTTTTCAGCTGTTGTAATGAGATATATAAGAAAGAATTATATAATTATATATGCTCTGTTAAAAAGAACCAAATGAAATGACTAAATATATCATGAAACTTTATTGTAATCAGCCCTGAAAGTATTAATCAGATTAATCGTGATTTATCAGTTATAGAAATAATCGTCAGCTAATTTAGTAATAGATTAACTGGAGTGTAGAGATTGTAAAACCTGTTTTTAGCTGACAGTGACCCACTAGAGCAGAAACTATATCAAAAGGGTAAAAAAAAAAATAATATATATATATACATATATATATATATAATTTTGCATTTAAGACAAAGAGAATAACTTTTTCATCTGTCAATCTGATCTACCCAAAGCTCAGGTGGAAAAGTTTTAGTTTCACCTGGTTTAATTTAATAAAAAATTTTCTTTAAGGACCCTTTGGCTATTAATCGATTAATCAGAAAAATAATCTACGGATTAACTGATTTGCAAAATAATCTTTAGTTGCAGTCCTTTTTGTAATCTAGGAAGGAGGAAGTAAGTTTGGAAATTGCGAAATAACCTTGATGGATCCTGTAGTGGTAACATCCATAAATGACCTTTTTAGTTTAATTAAGCTTCTGACCTGAATTGATTTTATTTTCAACCTAAATCCTGTGGAAGAAAAGTCTGGTGTTTTTCTAAAGGCCAATTTATGCCTCTGAGGCATAGCCCCTGCAACGATCAAATCTGTCTCTGTGCACGACCAACGCCCCCAGAGGTTCTGCAACCGTCGTCGCCCACCTGAAAAAAATCCTGACTACTCGTCGGACGGTCACAAACCCGCACAGACCTCAAGCGGAAGTGCGCAGACTAAAAGCAGCTGTGATTGGTCCTTGGTACGCCTTTCCCGCTCTCTGTGTGGTCATACTTCTCGATTCGATGCCGGGGCGCGCCATTTTTAAAAACTACAATGGACAACCTACGTTTCCTCCTTTGTCTTTTTGCCAACTCCATTAACGGAACCTGTTCCTCTTCGATGTCTAGCAACTCTATATCGATCTCCGTGAACGTGATATCTTGCAGATGCGCCATTTTTGTTGTGGAAGATAAAAACTCCTGCCGTCGAGGTTCTCGTGACCATCTGGCGCAGTTCTCACGAGTTCTCCAATAGGCTCCCCCTTGCTTCCTTGGCAGGAAACTGCTGTGCGTCCCTAGAAATTCCAGTTTTGCAGACCAGCAAAACTGTGTCAAGACCAGACCCAAGCGACATTTGATGTGTGCAGATGCAGAAGTATAATCTACCCTTAAGCAGTAAACGTATCACACAGCCAATAGGTGGAGTTCATGACAAACCTCTCTAGTGTAAAAGGTTATGATTTTTTTTTTTTTTGTGATAGAACAAGGAACATGTCCTCAGCCGATACAAGGAGGGCTGAGTGAAGCTTTGCGTTAAGAGGACAGGATGGGGAATAAACTTTACAGCTGGAGCTTACAGTTAGCAATACATATCATGCTACATGCTAATTAGGGATGGAACGGTTTATGAAAACCGTCCGAACCGTTCGTTTCGGTTCGCGTGTGTTGTGTTCGGTTCATGCGCTGCTCCTTTTTCTCATAGGCGAAGCGTGAACACTCCAGAGCAGAAGGTGGCGGTACTGCGACCAAAGCCAACCACCAGTAGTAAACAAGAAGAAGAAGAAGTGAAGCAGTGTAGCCGGGTGTAGCAGAAAAAAATCAGTTGTTGTGGAGAATTGTGTGGGTATGGCGAGTGGGAAAGAACAGGAGTTGGAAGACGCGCCAGCAGCACTTTATAGGTCTGCTGTATGGGACCGCTTTGCATTTAGAGTGACCTACGATGACGGCGGAAAGAAAGTTGTGGATAAAAGTGCAACATTGTGCAACACGTTTTGTTTATGCTAACAGCAACACGACCAACATGTCAGGCTTACAATCAACATATACCGAACCGAAAACGGTGACCACGAAACCGTGAACCGAACCGTGGATTTTGTGAACCGTTCCACCCCTCATGCTAATACAAATTTCTTAGTGCAGTTAAAACATCAACTGGGACATTTTTATTTTCTTTATTTGAAAGTATTAGCATAACCTGTTTATCACACCTTTAACTGCAAAAAAACAACAAAAATTTTTTGTGTTTCTTGACTAGAAGCTAGCTTTAATTGGTTTTAGCGGGTTAAATGATACCAAACAAATATAGCTTCAGCTTCTTTTACTATGTGGTTGCTTCCACTTTAAGATTGTGTTTTAAATTCTGTGGTCGAAGTGGATCAGTGGAGCTTATTGTGAACATGGTGTGTACGGTGTGCCACTTTTCAACAGCTAGATTTTTTTTAACTCTTTAGCATCTCTGGCTAATTGTTAGGATGTTAACGTTAACCTGGCTGGTTAAAATAAGGAAATTAATTAATGCATCATTTTCTGACCTTAAAGCTTCATTATTCCCCCATCTTTTTCTTTCATTTAGTTGCATACACTCTCCATCCGTCGCCCTCTGAGCTGAGCAGGTTTTTCTTTGTGGTTTCCTTTCAAAGAAGCTTTTTTAAGTTCCACCATTTGTGCCTTTAATTCTTTCCGTATTGATATATTTCAATGTTGATGCGATCAGACTGCTCTTACTGACCCATGTATATTTATATATGCTCTCTGTGTGTTGGTTTGTTAGGTCATTGATCCCATAGCTCCCAGATATACGGCTCTGTCCAGCTCCTATGTGGTTCCGGTTTCAGTCCTGGAGGCAACAGAGGAGATGAAGGAGGTGGCGAAGCACCCAAAGGTCAGCAGGATTATTTTTCTGCATCCTAATGCTTTTTCTCTGCTCAGTACTTGATATTAAGTAGCCAAATCCAGAAAACATCACAGAGCTCCATATTATTTCTATCTCCAGAACGCAGAGGTGGGGATGAAGGAGGTTTGGTACGGACCTCGAGTTCTGGTCGAAGGAGCCGACGCAGAGACTTTTACCGAAGGAGAGATGGTCACTTTCATCAACTGGGGCAACCTTATCATCTCTAAAATCAACAAGTATGTTCAGGTGGTTAGTGGTGCATGAAAGCTGCATCTTCTTCCCTCCTAACCGCCTTTTCCCATCATTCAGAGGGGCTGACGGTAAGGTGGTGTCCATGGAGGCTCGCCTGAACCTGGACAACAAGGACTACAAGAAGACAACCAAGATCACGTGGCTGGCTGATACCAACAGCGCCCCCCTGCTGCCCACCATCTGCACCAATTACCAGCCCCTCATCACTAAAGCTGTCATCACTAAAGATGATGATTTCAAAGATTACATCAATAAAAACAGCAAGGTGGGTGTGGTGCTCTGTGTGCATCGCGTGGATTCTGTTTATGTTTGTGAAATCTCCTTTGATTCTCTGACTCTCAGCTGGAGGAGAAGATGCTCGGCGATCCATGTCTGAAGAGCCTGAAGAAAGGAGACATCATCCAGCTTCAGAGGCGGGGCTTCTACATCTGTGACCAGCCCTATGAGCCAGTCAGGTAAAAAGAAGGGGTGTTTGTTATGGTGACACTTTGCCGCCGTAACCACCAACTGTTTGGTTCTAAGTTTGTCTGCTTGTGCAGTCCCAACAGCTGCAAAGAAAGCCCGGTTGTCCTCATCTACATTCCTGATGGGCACACCAAGGAGATGCCGACTGCTGGTTCAAAGGACAAAAGCAAGAGCCAAGCCTCCAGCAACACAGTGAGTGTTTCAGGGGGAGATCATGTTACTGTGGCTGTAGATTGCTTTGATATAATTATTCTAAATCAAGTTCAATCCTTCCTCCAGGGATGAATACGGCCTTTTTTAAAAGCCTTTATAATCACTACAATGAATGTTTTTTGCCGTTTCTCAATATGTGCACTTGTGTGTACTCATGTGCTCGTGTACTCGTCAAACATCATCAGCCTCAGCCCTAGTACTGTTCGATTCACAAGAACAGTTGACAGAGAACGGACAAAGTCCTCAGATGTTGTTCTCTCCCCTCCCTCTTTACCCAGCATGCATCCAGAGCAGACTTGTCCGTTCTTGAGATTGACAGCTATCCCAGCATGCACTGCGTCAGCAGCAGCAGCTTCCAATGGAGCACTAACAGAGCCCAGAGCATGAAGTTAAAAGTTCTTTTTTCTGTTGCCGTTCAATAAAAGTACATTTTAAGATCATTTGAAGCGAGAACATTATACTTTTATGCATCACAATATGGCCAATTTACTGATTTAATGCGTAATTTAAAAACAAAATTTCCGAAGTTGAGAGGACCACGGCAAAAAGGCTAACAGCAGCCAGGGCTAACGTTAGCCCGTCTCTAGCAGCCCTCTCTCTGCATAGCTGTGGTTGAAGGACTGCTGGCTATGATGCCGATTTTTTTAGTTTTATTTGGCAAATTTTTCATTTGATTTGTGTTTATCTGACCATGTTAATTATTATTCCCCCACTAAAGGGAAAAAAGTCAGAATTTATTATTATCTAGAGACTATTAATAACAGGAGGTGAAATGCATCTCCAGACGAGCTGAGCATGTGGTGATGTCATCAGTACGCTTCTGTTCCAGTTGACCCATATTTATGCTGTGAGCTCCCATTCTCACCAAGTCCATACTTTTGTGTTTTTCTCAAGAACATACTTGGCGAGGACACAAGTCCGTACCAGCGTTCTTCTGAACTGAGAAACGGTCTTAGTTTTTCCATGAAAGAGTTCAGATCTAGCAGTGATGAACTGATAATGTAAAGCTGTGTAAAGCTGTATGTAATGAAATGATTGAATGGTAAGGTGCAGGCTCATTTCCACTCGCTGATGGTCCAACAGAGATGAAATGACTGGTGGCTTGTTGGTCCATTAAACTGCATCACTAATCAGTGTGTTTTTATCTTTCTGGTTGAGATGCATGTTCAGTGAATATATATATGGTGTTTCCTGTTTGCTTTACTTGCAGATTAGCCACAAATTATTCATACCCCTGGTAGTATTACTCTCATTCAGATTCCTTCAGACTGGGAGTAATGAGGATTTGCTTTGGCAATTGCTCCTCATACGTCGTTTTTATTTTATTATTTTTTTTACAGATGTTCCTGAAGATGGAAATCTTGGTTAAACAATGATTGTAGTCCTAATCTGTGATGCCAGTCTGAGTTTATCTGGATGCCTCGCCCTTTTTCCCGCGCTTTGTTGAATTATATAATACTGCCTGATTGAAGAAAGTATTGTGTAAGAATCAGATTTTGAAATTAATGTGGATTTGTTTTTTTTTTTGTAACATATGAAATATGTTTTATGGGAGGATTTCTGGTATTTCCTCATTGGTGCCGAACTTCAGGTTGTTTGGATGTAGAGAGGAAATGTGCTGAGATCTGTGTGTTTGCACAGTTTCACATGTGTGTTTCAGTGGTAAATCTGTGCGACGCTTTAAACATGAGGAAACCAGAAAAAGCCACTTAAAAAAGGAAAAAGATGCCCTGTAATAATTCATTTCCCGCTTTTTCCTTTTGTTAGGTGGCTAAGGCAACCAAGGCTCCTTCGACCTCTGCTTCTGCTCCTGCATCAACCCCCGCCTCAGCAGCTGACCTCTTCTCCAGTATTGTAGCACAAGGTGAAGCTGTTCGTAACCTTAAGGCGGCTAAGGCCCCCAAGGAGGAAGTGGATAAGGCCGTTCAGCAGCTCCTCTCTCTGAAGGTATTCCAGCATTGCCAGAAATAACCAAGGGAGGTGTGGAAGTTTTCAGAAATATCACCTTGTAAACAATGCTGTTTCAGGCCCAGTTTAAACAGCAGACAGGTGTAGACTACAAACCAGGCATGAGTCCACCCACCTCTGCACCAGATACAGCATCTACCTCCACGGCTCCGGCATCAGAGCCATCCTCTTGTCCGTACACCCGTGTTGCCCAGCAGGGGGAGCTGGTGAGGCAACTGAAAGCAGAGAAGGCACCGAAGGTACAGGACATCTTGTTCTACCTAATGCTCATATCTGTTTGTTTCTACATCTGGTTTTGCTTTCATCCCAAATCACCGAGTCGGATTTGTCCTGCTGCCTTCATGTCCTCATCGCATGTCCAGTCATCTTCAGTTTTGTCAGTCATCTGCTCGCCCCTCCTGACTTGTCGAGCCGCCGTTCGTCTTTCTGTTGCGTTTGCATGAGAGTGAAGTTTAATCATAAGCAGCTGTGGTTCTAAAATATGTTGTCACTGGTACCAGGACCAGATTGACGCTGCGGTGAAGCAGCTCCTCGCTCTCAAGGCTGAGTTTAAAAAGCTCACTGGTCAGGATTACAAACCGGGGATGGGAACACCCACTTCCTCTGCTGCGACCACTGGGACCTCTTCTTCCTCTTCTTCCTCTTCCTCCTCTTCTTCCACTGGGCTGTATGAGCGTGTCGCACTTCAGGGTGAAGTTGTCAGGAAACTGAAGTCTGAAAAAGCCCCCAAGGTATCCAGATGGAACAAACTGAATTCTGAATAAAAAGATCTTGGTGCTCATTGCTAGGGAAGGATAAAGCGCGCTGCAGTGAGGTACTGCAGATTAAAATTCTATCAATAGGCAGAAAAACGTTCAATACTTGATCCCATTTTCGATACCATTGGGACAATTAATCAAAGCAGGGTTCTCTGCTGGGAAATTCAGCATAATGGGCCTTTTGCTAAAAAATTAAGCAAAAAAAACATTTTTTTTATGGGCGTATCTGCCCTTTGACTGACATTTGGTATTCCTCTCCATAGTGTTTCTGCACAGATTCTGGTTATCCTGAAACTTTTAGAATTACAATGAAATTTTGCCCTGATTTTTAAAGAGTAACGGCTGCAGAAACTGTTTTTAAATACATGAACCCTGCGACTTTAAGGCGTTCATCGGCTCACCGAGGCTTGTGAACATGCTGCAGCCCCCGACAGATGAGGCAAGGCAAGGCAAATTTATTTGTATAGCACAATTCAGTACAAAGACAATGCAAAGTGCTTTACATGATTAAAATACAGGAAGATAAAACAGAATCAAAGCAAGTAGGAAAAAAAAAAATGCAGAAACAAAAAAGAATATTAAAAACAGTTGGACTAAAAAAAAATAAAAATGTTGAACTAATGATGTTTCAGTTGAACTGTTTAACTAGAACAGTCGAAGGCAATCCTAAACAAATGTGTTTTTAGTCTTGATTTAAAGGAACTCAGGCTTTCCGCACTTTTACAGTTTTCTGGAAGTTTGTTCCAGATAAGTGGAGCATAGGAACTAAATGCTGCTTCTCCATGTTTAGTTCTGGTTCTAGGTATGCAGAGCAGGCTGGAGCCAGAAGACCTGAGTGGTCTGGAGGGTTGATACACTGATAGCAAGTCTGTGATGTATTTAGGTGCTAAGCCATTCAGAGATTTATAGACTAACAGAAGTATTTTAAAGTCTATTCTCAGAGATACAGGGAGCCAGTGTAAGGACTTTAGAACTGGGGTGATGTGCTCTACTTTCTTAGTCTTAGTGATGAGATGAGATGAGAGATGAGAGCACGCTTAAAAAAAGAAAGGAATCACACCCCCCTATGCTCATAAAAAAATGCAGGTGAGGATTCTGTAAAGGCATCAAAAAATTTTTTATTAACATGAAAATCTGGACGTGGCCCATGCTTTCTCAACACATCACAGATGCTAGGTATGTGTGGCAGACAAATGCAAAATAAATGGCCACAATATGATCACATTTGGCAGTTTTTAAGGTAGTCTAGGATATTCTTTTATTGTGCAAATAATCCCTAAGTCTTAAATTAACACTAGCAAAAAGATGCAAGCACTTAGTATTCATACCAGGCCAAATTAGCATTGTATCCAAATACAGTTTTTTTAGGTATCAAGACTTTCAGTATTGGAGTATCGATAAGAATAATAATCTTAATAAGAACCCACATGACCAGTTACTAGGACTGGAAGTTTCATTCCTTTAATCGGTTGCATCTGCAGGAAACCGACTTTACCCCGCTACCTGTCAAAGTACTGTAGTCATATTAAATAACGCACATGGAATAAACAGATTTTTGCTCATTATGAGGGATTGCTGTGAGGTTAAAAACTGGAGCTACATGGGGTGATGGTAACTAAACGGATACAGCCTGCTGGGTTTCTTTCTATGGAAAACCCATTTACAAATGGGATTAATACGTTTCACTCCGATAAAGGAGATGATACCAAACTATAAATAAATGCTTTTGATTTTGTAAATATAAACGGGCTAAGTTGTTTCTTTGGTAAAATGCCAAATCAACTAATCAGTTTTGATTTGGTGCTAAAATAAGTGAAACAATGATCATGTGATCAGTATTGCTGAAAGTAAGATTTATGCAGGTAAAGTTTTTGAGTTTTCCATTTGCATTAATGGTCAGACGGAGGCGATAAATATGTGGGTTTGCTTCTCGGTGTTTCTGCAGGACAAGATTGATGCAGCTGTTAAACAGCTGCTCACTCTGAAAGAAGAGTACAAACAGGCCACAGGGCAGGACTACAAGCCGGGAGCAGCCCCCGCTCAGAAGACCACCGCCCCAACCCAGAGTAGCACCAACCCGGCTGCCCCTGCTGCCTCCGGCCTGTATGAGAAGGTAGCAGAGCAGGGAGAGATGGTCAGGAAGCTGAAGGCTGAAAAGGCCCCTAAAGTAAGTTTTACATTTCGCACATCTTCACCATTACATAGTGATTTATTCCTAGCTGTTTGTGACATCAAAACCACATATATCAGTGGAGGTTTTATATGACTGACCAACAGGATGTCAGGTCTACTTAAAAGGTCAAAGGGAGGCAACAGTGGGTTAGAAAATGTTGAGTCATAGATATAGAACAAGTCTGGTGTGTTTTTGGCTTAATTATACTTCATTCAATACTTTGATTTAAGATAAGGATATTCAGTGTCTGCTTATTGAAGGTTTTAAGTCAAACTGAATAAAAGCAAAGACTTTGACTAGGCCATTCTAATACATAAATATGCTTTGATCTGAACTAATCCCCTTTTGCTCCACGCTACATATTTATTGTTCTTGTCTTGTTGCAAGGTGAATATATGCCCCAAGAAATCTTTCTTTTATCTTATGTATTTTTTTTTCTCTTTTACTTTTTATCTATTGTGACGTTGATGTCATTAAATGTTTTCTGACCTTTGCTCAGGACCAGATTGACGGGGCTGTGAAACAGCTCCTGGCTCTGAAGGCAGAGTACAAGCAGCAGACTGGACAGGACTACAAGCCAGGCTCAGCTAACCCAGCTCAGACTAAAGCCAGCAATGCCTCCGCCCAACCCAGCAATTCACCGCAAGCTCAGGAGCTCCACTCACAGGTGGCCCAGCAGGGAGAGTTGGTTAGGAAACTGAAGACAGAGAAGGCCGCTAAGGTAAAAATACGATTGCATTATTTTACATCCCAGATGGGAAATGAACAGCTAAAGGGTTCAATCTGATCAAACCAGCTCCAGGGTAGGAATGTAACCAGGAATTAAAGCACTCTGACCCTAGGCCGGATTTCCGTCTCGTATCGATTACGTAAAAAAAATTTACTTGAAAATAAATTGAAGATAAATAAATTTTAAAAAGTCAATCGAAATCCCTCTTGCGTTTGTCAGCCAATGGTAGCAAAGGAGCGGTCTGAAACATTTTATTTATATATATTAGGGTTGTAAATAATAGTTTTGTATCGATGCATCGATCCAACAACTGACGATCCGATGCATCGACACTCCGCAAGAGTATGGATTCATGTTTTTGTTTTTTTCCTCCGGTCTATTTTTATCCATTTGCTCCTGGGCGTAATTCTCCCTCCCGTGCTGCGGTAGCGCTAAACCTATTGTGCCCTCCTACCTCGCTTCCTGGTTATACTCTTTCAGCAGTGTGTCACAGTGAGCTTGACACAGACATTTGATTTATGCTCAGTATTGAGACGTGGTCTGTGCTACACGCTGTGGGTCTAGATACGGCGGAGGCGATGAGAAGGTGGGGGCAAGTTTAGTCCGGCGAGGGAGGGACATGAGGGCCAAAAAGAGCGGAGATCCAGGTGGAAAAAGGGTCCCAGCATTCTCGCGCACCTCGCTCTTCTAGAGGGTCAAACTTCACGAGTCGTTTTCCACAATTTCGGTCATAAAAACAAAACAAGCCGGCCTTCTGTCTGCGGTACTGTCTGTGGTCAGCTACAATTTTGGGGAGGTGCAGCAGAGCGTCTGTGGAGGGGGCGGGGACGTCTGGAGCCGAGGTATTGCATTGCACTCATTGCACTGATTTTGTGCAGTATTTTTGATGCAAAGCCTTGCAGAATCTATAACGCAGGGGTGTTATTATTTTTCAGTGAATGAGGGTTTAATAGGAATAGGTGGAGTAAAACTTTTCTATTTCTGTTATTTGCTGTTATTTGCTATTGTCTAGCCTGTAAGGTATAAAAAAAAAAAAAAATAAAAAAAAAAGTTAAATATGAGTTTCTTGCCTGTTCAGGCTCAGTATTTTTTTTATTTTTTTATTTTTTATTTAATCCCTGTGTAACGCTGTTTCAGGAACAGGTGGATGAAGCTGTAAAGACTCTGCTGGACCTGAAGAACAAGTACAAGTCCCTGACTGGAGAGGACTACAAACCAGCTGCTGCTGCTGGAGCCTCTGGGGGGGAAGACAAGAACCGTAAGGAGAGGGAGAACAAGTCCGAGAAACAGGGAGGAGGAGGAGGAGGAGGGAAGAAAGGGAAAGGAGACAAGGGAGGTAAAGGAAAGGAGTCATCAGGAGGTCAAGGAAAGGAGTCATCAGCTGGAGCAGGAGGTGCAGGAGAGGGACAAGGCCCTAAGAAACAGACACGGTGAGAAAAGGATGACCAAAGGAGAGAGAAGCTCTAAAACACAATTAAGAGAAACCTGGACTGCAAAACTGGAATTTGAATTTAGCATATTATTAATAAAACATGTAATTTACAGGAAAATGAGGAACAAAATGTTTACTTTTCATATCTACAGGTGTTACATCAACATTTAAACAAAACAAACTTAAATGTCTGACCCTAGTGAAAGGTGTAGAGCTGTGTGGTTCATTATGCTCCAGATGTTCTGCTGTAAACTGATTGTCTAAAGCTACTTGATCTTCTGTATTAATTTGGCTTCAGAGTTGGAAGGACTTGGCCAATAAAAAGTCTGAATGTTTAGTCACCTTGTCAGTGGTCGGTGTGAATTGAGTCCTCCATAGTTTAGTGCATTGCTGTAGAGCAGTGCTGGCATTCATTAAAAAAGGACACAGGATACGAATCTCTTAAGGAGAACAACAGGCTGCTGTGATTCAGTGACTGAGGAGGGATTTTCTGTTGTCGGATCGGTGAGTCAGAACCCTTCTGGTTCTAATCTGCATCGTCGTAGCTTGTGGTCTGCTTTTTATCCTCCAGATTACAGGCTTTGTTGTCTTACTGCACTACTAATTCTGTGTTCTTTCGGTCGAGATGCACCGGATTGATTTAGTTTCTCTAACCTGCAGCAGCCCAGCTTTCTTCAAAACAAATTATGATCATCAGCAATCAAGCTGCCAGAGAGCATTTTTAGTCTTTGCTTATAATAGAAGCAGGACACTCTTTGATGGCAAAACGATTAGGGAGTTCCCATTTTGAATGATTATCAACCATTGTTGGTAATCAACGAGGTTAGCTTCACTTGCAATAAAGAGTGATCCCAACAGAACCTTAACTCTTAGCTTAGCGTTTCCAAACCACAGAAAAGTTTTTATCATTTCTGCTGTTTAAAGTCATTTTAACAGGAAGCATAGTTAGCAAAATATGAGTGATTTGTTCTTAAGAAAATGGCTGCCAGCTCTGCTACTAAGCTGATGGCTGGGGTTGTTTTATAAGAATGTGAGCAGCAAAATGGGATATTTCTGCAAAGAAACGACATCTAAAAAGCTTTAAAATACATATGTTTTTGTTATATTAACAGGAGGTATGTAGTCTTACTGTCGGTTATATTACATATTCTCATACCAGCCTCTGCCTCACTGGAATTTTTTTTTTTAAATCTAGATAAGTAATTTTTTCTTAAAATATATACATTTGTTTTTGGATTGAGGAGGTAAAAGATACATTTCTCCAATGGAACAAGAAAACTTACACTTGAAATAAGACAATGCAATTGTGTTATTCTAAGTGCATATGATCTAATTATCTTATTTTAAGAGTAAAATTACTCATTCCATTGGCAAACTATTTCATTTACCTTCTCAAATTAAGGGTAAATGCACTTAATTCAAGAAATTTTTACTTATTTCTAGATAGTTTTTCCAGTTAAGAAAGATTCCCTTCTTTGTAATGTTGATCAGAAAACCAGGTCAGTAAATAAACCTTTAAAAAATGTGACTGTTTAAGATGTGAAAAGTAGGAAAAATTTTGTTCCTCAAAACAGAAAACGCCTGAAATTGGTGTTTTGTTTTGTGAGTTTGCTGCGAACATCTAACTTGTATTGAGTTGCATTGTTTTTCTGCATCATGGATTGCATGAAGTAAAGTACCTGTGAATGTGTTTGTGTGTTTAAGCCAATGATTTTAAGTCTTTTATCTCACAAATATGCAGCATTTTTAACAGAGAATGCCCTAATGATTAAAACTCAATCTCTGGGTGCTTTAATGCTGCATTCAAGGACTAAACGTTTGTTTTCCCCTCTCAGGTTGGGTTTGGAGGCAAAGAAAGAGGAGAATCTTGCTGACTGGTACTCTCAGGTGAGTTTCCTGTTCTCCATGTTAATTTCAATCTCTTGGAATAAAACTCTCCCCCAAACTCCTAATGATATACACGTTTATATTCCAGGTCATCACGAAAGCAGAGATGATTGAGTATTATGACGTGAGCGGCTGCTATGTGCTGCGGCCCTGGTCCTACTCCATATGGGAGGCAATTAAAGACTTCTTTGACAGGGAGATAAAAAAACTGGGTGTGGAGAACTGCTACTTCCCTATGTTTGTTTCACAAGCTGCCTTGGAGAAGGAAAAGTCTCACATTGAAGATTTTGCTCCTGAGGTAATCCTGAAAAAAGACAATCAGAAGTATAACTAGTTGAATTACTTAAAATGATGCAGAGCGGGACTCTGCAAAGATTAATTCTACCTGGATAGATTGAATTGGCCTGTTTATGCAGTTATAATCATAAGAATAAAAAAGAATGAAAGCCGCTAGTAAGAAAATAAAACCCAAGAGTGGTTTAATCGTGTGCATATTTTTGCAAAATAACCCTATTACGGATATAGAAATGTGTTTGTAATGGTGTCATGTCTTCAGGTTGCCTGGGTAACTCGTTCAGGAAAGACTGAGCTGGCTGAGCCCATCGCTGTCCGACCCACCAGTGAAACAGGTCCGTCCCAGCGCCTGCATTTGATGCTCTGCATGGTTTTAATGAAGCTGCTGCTGATTTTCTCCATTTTTCTTCATGGCAGTGATGTATCCGGCTTACGCTAAATGGGTCCAGTCTCACCGAGATCTGCCCATCAAACTCAACCAGTGGTGCAACGTCGTGGTGAGTAAATAAAACTCACCTTCCCTATTAGTGCAAGCTGATCGGTGCACAGAGCTTTCGTATTTTAACATTTCTCCATGTCACCCTTTAGAGATGGGAATTTAAACACCCCCAGCCTTTCCTGAGGACCAGAGAGTTCCTCTGGCAGGAGGGACACACGGCGTTTGCCACGAAGGAGGAGGCAGCGGAGGAGGTATCAGAAGGGACGCCCCTCCTAATCCACGGCATCATGGGAGGACTGGTTGACATTTTCCTTTTTGGCTCTCCTGTAGGTGCTGCAGATCCTGGATTTGTACGCCAGGGTGTATGAAGAGCTGATGGCTATCCCCGTGGTGAAGGGGAGGAAGACTGAGAAGGAGAAGTTCGCTGGAGGAGATTACACAACCACAGTGGAGGCCTTTATCTCTGCCAGCGGCCGAGCCATTCAGGTAATACGCTGGCCTGCCTGCCCTGTAGAGACTGACACGGGAGTGGATTTTCACTCCTGTCCCGTCACACTCCCACAGAAAAAAATGGTGTCCCGATCCCGAGCCGGAGT